AAGTGCGTCGGCGCTGACGGCCCACCGTGCGGGCGGCCAGGGCCACAGCGATCGAGGCAGCGGCAGGACCAGCATAGCTGCTGCTGGAGGCCTTGGGGTTCCGGGACGCAGGGGCCGTGTGGACCTGCCTGGCTACCCCAGCTTCTTGGAGGGCTGGGGCCACGAAGGCCACGGAGCTTGCCATGTGGGCAGCTGCGAGTAGTACTGCGGCAAGGAAATTAAATGTCACGAGCCAGATGCTGCGGTGTGACGCAAACAGAAGTTTTCTTTGTCAGCGAGCTGGTTCGGGAGCCTATAGGGCCACAGACATGCTACAGCTTGCGATCGAGCTGTCCATTGTCAAGCCCGGATGCATCAGATGGTCATTGCCAGAGATATCCTCCTCAGAAGATGCAGCTGCTGGAACTTGAAGTTGTAAATACACAAAATACTTACTGGTTCTTAGCAGGGAAGATGGGAACAGAATCCCTATGTAATCCCTTATATAGTACATTCCAGTATTCCCTACTATTAAAACCCCTACATATACCCTATTACAAATTCTATGTAGAAGTTTGCATTTTCCATTATCCCTATACAAGCCCAATATATTCCCTTATTCCTTACTAAGCCTAGACCCTAAACAATATCATATGTACATACGTTTATATATATATATATGTACATAGAGATTCCCTACTAAGAGCCAGTAAGGAAACGAAGCACTTTCCTCAAATGCAGCCAATGTCACCCAGAGAGGATCTACCTGAGGGCAGACGCCCAGAAGCTCGAAGGCCGAAAGTCGTTCCTCCCGGGACAAGAGACTTGCTGGTTATTAGTAGGGAATAAGGGGACTAATAATATGTAGTAGTCATAATAGTGAGTCTTACTGGCTCTTAGTAGGGAATAAGGGTACAATAATGTGTAATAGTCATAACAGTAAGACTTGTCGTCAGCCATGTGTTTTGCTGACACGACACACGTGACTCCTTTTCGTGGGCCATGTTGTGACCGAAGATGCTGACTTTGCCGGCACTGGGATTCCTGCTGAGAAGTGCAAAGCTCTTTCGAAGCTGAAAGACGTTCTTCCATGAATGACGAGGTGTGGTGAAACCGGTCCAAGCCTGATCTCCCCTGTCAGGATTCCAAGCGTTGTTGTCTTTCCAGCGCCGTTCGGCCCAAGCAAACCTCAAAGAACTGACGGAGGCACTACAAGAATCTCTCTCCATGCAGCAGTTTTATAACCAAGTCCTGACACCAAACACATAATGCTCATTTCGCTACAGTCTTCTGAATTCTCTCTGTGGGTGAAGCGCTCAACACCACAGCATGCGCAAGCTTCTCAAGCTCAGAAGCTGAAACATTCCCCTTTGTGGATTCCAAGGCTGATGTTCCTCACGGCATTCACATACCTGAGATGGCAAGGTGTCCCAACACTGGGCCTTTAAAGACAACATTCGTTTGTTCTGGATGCATGCAGGTTGGTCTGGAAGTGGTCTCTGGGGGAATCATGATATGTGGATATCTCCCATGAAGTTTCCAACACTTTGCGGTGGCATCCCACTTTGAAACCATATGTTTTCGGAGGATCATCTGCTGATCCAA